ATATCTAGTAACACATTACCTTGCTAGAGTATATCTAGTAACACATTACCTTGCTAGAGTATAGTAACACATTACCTTGCTAGAGTATAGTAACACATTACCTTGCTAGAGTATATCTAGTAACACATTACCTTGCTAGAGTATAGTAACACATTACCTTGCTAGAGTATAGTAACACATTACCTTACTAGAGTATAGTAACATATTACCTTGCTACACCTCTCTACAGTTGTCATACTGTTTAGGGTAGAGAAGTTTGGTACAGTATGATTAGGGTAGAGAAGTTTGGTACAGTATGATTAGGGTAGAGAAGTTTGGTGCAGTATGATTAGGGTAGAGAAGTTTGGTGCAGTATGATTAGGATAGAGAAGTTTGGTACAGTATGATTAGGGTAGAGAAGTTTGGTACAGTATGATTAGGGTAGAGAAGTTTGGTATTTGGTGCAGTATGATTAGGGTAGAGAAGTTTGGTGCAGTATGATTAGGATAGAGAAGTTTGGTACAGTATGATTCTCTACCCTAATCATACTGTACCAAACTTCTCTACCCTAATCATACTGTACAAAACCTACAATTAACAACATTTTCTAATTAATTAGATCAATACAAAACTTACAAACTTCAAGAGATAAATTCCATTCTCTCGATGTACTTAAACAATTAAATATTCCTGTAAATGGATCTTTCTAACGTTACACGAAAATTGATGTTTCCTAATATTCAACAAAGTAAGAACATCCATTCCGATTAGATTTACTTTGAGATTAGCGTGTAATCTTGTTTCTTAGTCCCTGATACCATATAACTGTTTCACTAATTGTTGTTTTTTGGTGCATTTTGCTACGAACCTCATGTTGCGAATAACAAAATTATCGGATCTATGGGTGGAACGTGGCAGATGCTGTACTTCTCAGGTAGCAAGGTTTGTGTTAAGTCTTTCAGGGTAATGGTGCTTTGTCGACTAAACAGATTTCTCCACCTTGCTTATTTCTTCTCGTTTCCTCCGAACTCCACGGAATTCTTGAGTGCTACTATTTATAGCATCCAACCTGATGTTTGTTTCACATATAACCTGCAAATAAATAATAATTAACACACAAAATATAAATATAGAGTAATAAATTGATATTATTCGATGTAATTTTAAAAATGTAACGCACGCAAAATCTGGGTAAATTATGCCACTTTTATTACATTAATATGTTTAATGATCTACTCGAAGCATGTGTTTATTTTTAGAAGTTGTTCTGCTTCCGTACTGAGCTCACAGCTGGACGAATCCGTATACGAATAATCTCGAGAGCGAAAGGGGCTGTATATTTTCCAGCATAACCCGAATTGCTGACCCAAAAATGGATCTAGAATATTTTGTGGCTCCACCCTTTCCGGCACAGCTTGTAACTTTGAATAATTCTGATTGAACCGTAGTGTTTGCTGGTCAAAGTGCTCGTCCAATCAGAGACAGGTTTGTGTTTCACCCTGTAATTCTAGTATCAGTTTGCACAGGTTTAAAAGGAAAGCGTTCCATTTTATTTCATAGAACAGCTTTCGAACGTAAGTGTTGGTTTTTCCTTTGTCTTACCACTTTGGATGATACTCATGTTGTAGGGCTCAAAGTGTGCTGCATCTATGTGTAACTAGTCAACTGAAGACAGGACTGAGGGATGTATTTTCATTTTTTTTTACCTTTGTACCCATTCTTTGAATCAATCATAAGATTTTTGTATTTGTACAACCCAGTCATCTTTCTCAACCCTTCCTCAAACACCCAGAGGAATTCCTTGCATCCTGTCATTACACAGTCTTCTGTATGATTTGAAGAAATGTTTGACCTCTGTTACCCAACAATTGAAATGCCTCAATTATCCAAATAAACCTACCTTTTCACAACAGTCTTCTGTATGATTTGATGAAATGTTTGACCTCTGTTACCCAACAATTGAAATGCCTCAATTATCCAAATAAACCTATCTTTCCCGCATGTAGCATTTAAGGGTTTTTTGAGTACTTTTTAATTCGCCAAATAAATTCGTAAAATAACTTAAGTGTATGAATGATATGACGGCATTACGCCTATCTTATTATTCGATATTATACAGCGGATCAACTATTTAGTGATTATATTACAGTTTTATTTTCTGTCCCCCACAGGACTGTTCTACGTCAGAAAAATTGAAAGCATAATCTGTGACGTAGAAAAGCCCTGTGGTATAATCTGTGACGTAGAAAAGCCCTGTGATGGAGAGAAAATAAAACTGTAATATAATAATGACGAATATTAAACTAAGTGCAATGCCATAATCTTTTTCAAAAGCCTAAATTAATGTAGATTACTGTACGGTAAGTTAACATGAACTCCAAAACCCCATAAATATGAAAAACACGTCACCATTAAGACAGACCTAATTTTGGTTTGCTCACCCAAACCGTACTGATAAGTCTTGAATAGGCGAAACTGTAGTCCACAGCAGAGGGTGCAGTCAGTCAAAGAATATATTGGATCTTTACGTTACAGATTATGTTTTAAATTTTGCCCTTGGTGTAAAGAAAAAAAAAAATCTTTAGTATAGTCTCCTGGATAATTTGATGAAATGTTTGACCAACAATTAAAATGTTGTATTGTTTAACTACCAAACACAATTTTACCCAACCACTAGTTTATAGTTATCTCTAAGCTCCTGAACATCAACTAAATATTTAGTTGGATTTAAGCATGTTACAAGTGTGGTGAAACAAACCTTCTTGAATATCCAAACCTTTCCTTTTACACCATATATTAGGTTTATGTAGTTAACACAAGTTTATTCTTGGAATAGTTTCAAGTTATTCAGTAAGTAAAGAGCGAGTTATTAATTTATGTAAAAGAAATGCCATTAAGACTTCGCAGTCGCCTTATTATTAGTGCGGGCTTATTGTCAAGTGCTATGATTCTATTGTTAGCCTCTTCTTCCCATTTTCCTGTTTCTTAAGACGTTATCATTTATATCAAACCAACTTAGATATAGCAGACAACAATACTACAATCACCCAGAAAAACGTAAACATTCATAGTTAATGTAGAAACGTTCTGGCTATTAATATATCTATCTAGTATTACTTAAATAATGTTGTATCTTTGATAGGTTGTTTTGGCAGAGTATTCCTGAAGACGAAAGGCTTTCGAAACGTAGTTTTCTACGCTTGTGTTTTTTCGTACAACAGGCAGTTGCCGCCCATTCCTGTGTACCTGTATCTGTTTCACAGTTGGGTCCTAAATATGTTACACATCACTTCCAATAGGGGATAATGTATATAAACCCAAAGTTAATGACTAAGCTCTGATGCTAAAACAAAATTTTATTACTTTTCAAGCGCTACCTTAATGAAACACGCTTTAAGATTGGGTCATGAAATCTCGTAACATATGCCGATTTGAAACACATACAATGATGCTAATTATAACAAGGACCATTTGAAAAAATGTATAAAAATTACAGCTGTACTTGTAAACCAAAGAAAATTGAATTCAGAAAAAAGTAAAACGGTGCAAAGGATATTACGAAAATAAATGAAAAGACAGATAGAAAACAAAACAATATCATATGCAATTTAAAGCTAAACAAAATATGACTTTTACTACAGGAAATATAAAAGGAATCATGACTTTGTTATCTTTTTGGGTATTCATAACAACTGAAGTTACGGAAAGAACAGTGTAGGCCTAAATATTAGGCCTAAACGGCTCAAGCAGATGGAAAACTATCGTTGTTTTATTGGGTTGTGACTTATGATAGAAAAAAAGAAAGAAAACACACATATAAGTAATTTATCATAACTTTTAACTGAATATTGTTAGTTTAGAACTTTTGTGTTTTGACGAACTAAAACAAAACACATCGGTTAATGTTTTCTCTTATTTAGGAGAGCTCCAGGGCTGTTCTACTCCCGTGTGTGTTCCAAAGGTCTTTAAAACTACTTAGGCCTTCCTTTCCGCGTTCTTCCTGAAAATCCAGCAATGGCAGCTCCCCAAGAAGATCCTGATCCATCTGAGTATCTGTTTGTCTCTCTCGAACAGAAACGCAAAGACCAAACTAAGCCTTATGATGGCAAGAAAATGGTCTGGGTTCCTGACGAGAAAGAAGGATTCATTATCGGCAACATTCAAAGTACGAAAGGAGAACAAGTGACTGTTGATTGTCCTGGTGGTGACGTAAGTGTAAATTATTTTAATTATTATGTCTTTGTTATTAATTTGGAGGCCAAATGGGAACTTTGGATATTCTAAGCATAAGCACTAAACTACTAATAAAATTATGGTAAGATATAGCGTTTTTGATAGTATTTTTCTTCAAGTTGTAGTGTATTAGGTTTTTGCCACTGTACATCTTAAATACATCAGATAAGTTAACAGTTTCATTCCTTTGTAATATGAAAGTTATTACATACTCTTAAAAATCTCCATACAAAATATAAACCACTAAATTTGTATTAACTTTTTATTGTTATATTAAGTTATTTTGTTATGGCAATTGTAAAAATCAAAGTTAATATACTTTTTTTTCAGCATAAGTGCTGCCATCTATCACCAATAACACAATATCGGCAAATTGAGTACTATTACTATAATGGATGAAATGCACTTTTATTTATTTATCCTAAAATTAACTCTAATTTACCTGACCGATAAATTTTAACTAACTTTATGTTTTAGTTAGTAAGTGACGATCTTTCGTTCTATCTTGTTGCAGCGTGTCATAAAGAAAGACCAACTCCAACAAGTTAACCCACCAAAGTTCGAAAAGGCCGAAGACATGTCCAACTTGACCTATTTGAATGACGCCAGTGTTCTGCATAATCTGAAACAGCGATATTACTCTAAGCTGATTTATGTGAGTAATACTAATATATATCTAAATACGTGTTAAATCGTAGAATTCTAAATAAAAAATATATTATTGAGACATTTACACATAACTTTTCGTTCGTATTATCTCTTATAAGACAATATAAACTTAAAACTTGTATTTATACAGTTTTATGTATTAAAAAGAAAATTATAAAACTGGAAACCACAGAAATCTCGTGAGGTACTATTGGAAGAAAAATACAAAATATCGTGACTGTGTTCAAGAATCTCGTGAGGTACTGTTGGCAAAACAATACAAAATATCGTGATTGTTTCCAAGAATCTCGTGAGGTACTGTTGGCAGAACAATACAAAATACCGTGAAGATTCTTGGAAACAATATTGTTCTGCCAACAGTACCTCACGCAAACTATCGTGATTGTGTTCAAGAATCTCGTGAGGTACTATTGGCAGAAAATCCAAGTAACTTAAAATTCTTACTCTGCAACATGTCATTGTAAGCTCCGTCAGAAACAGCAAACAAGTGAGGGGGCATCTCAGTCCTCCTCTTACCCTTGTACATCTGGACTACACGATTAGTATAGATGGGAAAACGCTTGTAAGGGTTGATTACAACACAGAACAAGCCAGAGTAGGTCTGTAAACACAACCAGAAATCACTCTAAATAGCGGTCATGGAAAGAGTTTTTCTTCAAATTATCTCTATGCTCTAACAAAAATAACCCTTGATAATAGAAAGTTCTTAGAACATTCTTGTTTGCAATAAAACATTTACTTAGCGGCTAAATCACAGTCACGATATTTTGTATTGTTCTGCCAATAGTACCTCACGAGATTCTTGGAAACAATCACGATATTTTGTATTGAGATGTTTGTCGTGTTTAACTGAGCTGTTTGTGACATTGTAGTAACTTTAAGTTACTTGGATGAAATGTTTGTCGTGTTTAACTGAGCTGTTTGTGACATTGTAGTAATTCTAAGTTACTTGGATTAGATGTTTGTCGTGTTTAACTGAGTTGTTTGTGACATTGTAGTAACTTTAAGTTACTTGGATTAAATGTTTGTCGTGTTTAACC